CCTCTGCCCGGCTCCCTTGCAGCCGCAGCACGGCTGGGAACAGGGAACACGACAGGGAACAGAGCTGAGGACATGGCCAAGGCCATGGAGAGGGCTCAGGCATCCAGCATGAGTGAAAGAGGACATGAGGCAAACTGTAACCACACACAGCTGGAGCCAGGGAGGTGGCAGATGGGCACAGCCTGAAGGGCAATGTCGCATCTCTTAACACACAACCACATACCCCACCTCATCCCCAGTTAGCTGGAAGTCTTAACAAAGAGACTTAATCACCCTGACCACAGAGGCCATCGAGCAGAGAGGGGCAGCCTGTGGGCAGTGGTGCCCTCGAGACTGAAGGCCAAGCACAGCTTCCCTGTACAGCTACCCAGACAGTCAGGAGCTGTTCCCCGCTCCAGTCTCACCAGATTTCCCGCAGCTCAGCTCCTGGAGCAACAAAGGTCAGGACAGTGGCAGCACTTGGTTTAAGTACAGTGAGAAAAGAGCTCAAAAAGAAGAGCGCATTCATTTGAGGTTAATAGAGGAAACCAATTTCAAGGGGAGTCAGTTGCAGAGAGAAAAGCCATCACAGCTCCTGCCCCTCACCTTGGGGTTACAGCCCAGTCAGTTTTATGTTTTCTTCTTTAGCTCCTCAAATCTCCTAGAAAGATCATCAAAGTCAATGTCTTCAGAGGCAGAAGAGTTGGCGCCAGCAGACGCTGTTGGGAGCGTGTCTGGCACGGAGGGTAGTTCAGGCAGCACAAAGTTATCAATGGTATTAGCAGCTCCAGCCTTTGGTTTAGGAGAAGCCTCCGACTTGGGCCTGGGCCCTATTCAGAGTAAGAGAAATACCATTTCACCTCAGCACCACAGACACAATAGGGCCACACGAAAGAAAGGCTATTCTACCAAAAAGGGCAGTACCAATGTGGTTTTCAGAACAGGCCCAGTGGTCAGGCGGCTCAGAGCACGCAGACTCACTGGGAAAAAACAACATCTCAGGTTTAGGTGGCTGGAAGGAGCAGCGGCTGAAGCAGATCCAGACCTGCAGCCCTGTGCTGAGGCTGCAGCAGAAGCCCCTCCGCGGCTCACAGCCTGCTGTGGCCGGGATGGAGCACCCCTCGCCTGCACTGGCGGGACTGCACCACTGGGATCCTCAGTCCAGCACCTCCTAGAGACACACGCCGGTAACACACTGTCACACAGCTGTCAGACTGAAGCATATAGCCAGACCTAGTGCACCCACAGGCCTACTACCTTCTTCAGCACACATCTACACTCCCCAGAGAAAACCTTGCTGGAGTTGGCAAGGGTCTACTTACTCGAGAAAGCCTCTCAGCCCTTATCAAGTGCTAGAGATAACAAGTGCTTTCAAAATACAGAGCAGAATCACACTGCACAAGGCAGGAGAATTTTGTTACGATTCAATTACACTGCAAGAAGCACCTTGTAAGCCCTTAGGCAGATGGATGGACCAAGGGATAACAGCTATCACTACTAGCCCTGCTCTGCTGTATGCAGCCTCAACACTGACATTAATACAAACCTATCTACCCTCTTGGTGCATACTTCTTTCATTCTCTTCCTGCAGAGCAGTATTATTTACACTATGTCAAAATATATTATCACTTAGAGCTGTTGCTTTCTCATTTTATCCTGCAACACCCCATTTTTGGTCTGATGGGACAGCTTAAGCCAGAGACCTAGTACTGACTCCTATGTCAGGTTTTCTAGTTCTTGAGTTTCCCAGTGGAAGTCTGGATCTTCCCTGTGTTGAGAGGATACTATGCATTTCTGTCAGAATCTTCCCCAGACTCAAATCCTGCTCTCAAAATGCAACTGTACAAACTGCTCCCTGTGTGGAAAGCTTCCTCCCAGCGACACCAGGATCCCGAGCTAAGCACAATCCCGGACCACCCCAGATTTCCCAAACTTCTGGATGCACTCACCAGGCACCGGTGCAGGAGTGTCCTTGTCAGCGTTAGACTCGTCGATCTGAAAAAAGACTCTGTTACTACAGTTCTTTGCTACGTGTCAGAGGATCTCACTGATGTGTAGGCACTGCTCGTGGGCAGCAGCAGCCACACCAGTGCAGAGTGGGCAGGAGGCCCTGCCTCCCAGCACACTCACAGGAACCTGCCTCTCCCCCCAGGAGAAGGAGGCAGTGCTTCAACTTTCCCTCCCTGTCAATTAAAGCATCTCCACCAGCCATATTCCAGAACTGGATTAACAGACCATGTCCACTAGCAGGTCTGAAATATTCATTACAGACGTAAGTGTGAGAAGACTGCCCTCTTCATCCATGTTATCACAGCCATGACTTCCTTTCTTTCATAAAGGACAGGCATGTCCTTGTAACCAGTAGCAAGGTATGAAATGACCCCACCTCAGGTCTTCGTCCAGTTGAGACAAAGGCCCATGGTCAGCTGTGCTGGTATAACTCCTCATTCCCTGCGGGCTGCAGCCAGTGACATCTGGCCCCGCCAAGCTAACAACTTCTGTGTCTGTGGCTGCACCTCCTGCACCCAAAGGCTGCTGTCCAGATGGTACAAGGTGTCAGCACACAGGGGTGCTTGGCAATGCTCATCCCTATACCCAGGATACTGCAAAAACAATCAGCATGTCCCTGAAAGCAAAATGTGAAGCATGGTCATGAACTGAAGCAGCAAAAACATAGAGAAGCAAAGTAGGAGAAGACTCCATCCTCTCCTTTGTTGTCCCCAAGGACTGAGAAAAGTCTGAGAGAGGAGGTGTTCAAACATACATCATCTAAGTCAGCCAAAATTGTCACCCAGGCTATGTCAGTTCAAAAGCCATAATTAAACAAACCAAAGGTGATAAGCCCTCACATTAAAAAAAAACAGAACTTGTGGATTCTACTTGTTAACTGTTTATCACCATTTTAACAATGCAGTAAAATAAATCTTGGCTTTCTTTTGCAGGCAAACCATTCAGCTGAATGAGGTCACAAGTCATCCTCCCATCACATGCGCTCAGTGATTCACCACACCGTAAGCAACACCAAGCACCACCCCCAGAGTTACAAAGGTTGACAGCAATGTGCTTCATCAACATTTGCCTTTTCTGTGGCTACCACAGCCCTCTTCTTGTAGTTCCCTGTGCTGCCGACAACGCTGATCCAGCTCAGGCACTTACAGACTCGTATGTTGGTGGGGCTGCTGGAATTGGTGGTGGATGGATGTTGGCAAAAGGCTGGTAGGTCCCCACTGGTATGCCACCGAAGTTCTCCTGTGCAGAGAGATTACAGTCTTGCACCAAAGTACTCACCTGGGAGAGCGATCATGACACCTACAGCTGCTGTGGGAGTCAGAGAAAGTAATCTAAGGTAAATGCAGGCAAGTGTCCAACCTGGTATAGTTTATACTTGCAAGGAAAAGATTTACAAATATTAAACCAGATGTTGTCACCTGGAACAACCAGACCCAGCTAACAGGACTGGGGGTTATTCTAAAGAACCATCATGACTAAATACTTCACCTTTCAAGGCGTTAGAAGTATGAGGGCAAAGAGGGCAATACGCTGCATTAAGCACACAAGAGACATTTTTCCAGTGTGCAGCACCAAAAAGCAGGAAGGAAGGCCTCTGGCTTACTCAAGGCCCTGTATTATCCTTACTTGTAACACAACAGTGCCTCAAAAGACCTAGACTTGGCACAAATCCTCGGCATATTTATGCCTGGGCCAACAGCCAGCTGATGGTGCTTGGCCCAGATTCTCTACAAAAACCACTGCAGCACTGCTGGGACCATATCAAGACTCCAACCCATCCCACTGTTCTGCCAGCCTCCGGTCTACACAGATACACTGTAAATGGCTGAATTCAGAGAACAGCGCTCTTTCCAGCTCCCACCTTCCAGCCTCACAATAAGACATCTCCAAGAGCCACTCGCCTGGACCCCTTTCCCTGCAGGTCTGAAGACAGAGTACTTCTGCATTCTTATGTGCTGTTCCCACCCTACAAAACTCATCTCATTTCCTTAACTGAATCTTGGCACACTACCAGCCTACCAACTTCAAAATGCAGCTCCAACTGGTCAAAAGTCTGGCAGTCAGAAGACTGCCTCAGGAGTTAAGTCTGGACTCCTCTGTTCCCTGAAGGCAAAGAGGGCTGGCTGGAGAACAGGGCTAGGAACCTCCCCAGTCAGGAAGCAACATGAAGCTTTGGCTGCACTGCCAACAGTTTCCATCCCAAGAAGTCCCACACCAACATGATAGCCTTCTAACACATCAAGCTATCAGGTACAGACACTTCCAAGGCAGCAGGCATAGGCTAAGCACCACAACTGGAGTCTTCCACAGAAGAAGGGAATATCAAAGCAAAGGCACTCACCGGTCCCTTTGGAGGCGGGTAGGAGAAGGGTGGAGTTGGTGTTGGCATGGGCATAGGCATCATCACTGGCATGGGTACTAATCCATCATGACCAACCATTGGGGCTGTAAATCCACCACCTCCTCCCCCTCCTTGGCCACCCTTCTTCACATCTTCTGTAAATCCCACGTCAATCAGATCTGCCTCTCCACCTGCAGGGGCTTCAGCCTGGAGAGGGTGGAAGAATTCTGCTCACCAACATACTCCTATTCCAATCCCATCCCTCTGAAGAGCATTAGATGCAGCTTGGACAAGATGGGACAATACAATGAGGACAGAATAGACAGCAGCTACACAGTGATATTAATGGGAATCAGAAAGGGAACCAGACTAAAGCATGACTTACTATGGCCACATGCAGTAGGGCTGTGGGAAGGAGCAGGGACTGTGTACATTAGCGCTGCCCAGAAAATACCAAAGCAAAACTACCACTGAGCTTGCTGCAATACCACAGCCCTGTGCTCTGAAAGCCCACATTTCAGCCACTGGAACACAGAAAGGAGCTCCAGACTTGCAGGTGCCTCACTCACCATCACCACAGAGTCAGGTTCATAGGGCACATTGTAGTTCTTAGCAATCTCGATGAGGTATCTCTCCACCAGAATCTTGGGTGGTGCCTCCACGCTCAGCTTGTGCATCAGCTGGAACACAAGGTACAGAGACACTCACTGGACTGGGCAGTGCAGCAGAGCTCCATCCCAGCTGCTACAGGGAGGGGATGCCCTTCCTCCCAGTACAGCATCGCTGCAAGGGAGGCTGCTGTCAACCACAGGCCAGGGCTCCATGTGTGCTGCTCCCCTCCATTTGCAGCCAGCACAGCAGGGCCCCACTGCCAGAGACCTCAGCACTGTGCTCCTACAGGACCCTACCCTGCATGAGCCACAGGCATCAGCCACTGGTGACCCAAAAAAGGGGTAGAAAGCCACAGCAGGCATGTCTGCCAGCTCCAGCTGGCTGCTGCTGTTCCACCAGTTCATTACCCTGTCATTGACTGTCCCAATCTGGTTTGTCCGGCACAGCTTCCCATACTCCTTGCTGTACTTGGCACAGAGCTGGTCAGCAACCTGCAATAGGAGAAACCACACACTGCATATCTGCTGGATTGCTCTCATTTCTGCTACTGACTGCTAAGCACTCTTAGCCATTCCTGATGCTTCAGGGACACCTATACTTGAATCTCAGATCTGCAGAGCCCATAAAAACATGTCCTCTGCCTTAATAACAGACACCCAGACAAAGACTTCCACCAGCTTCTCACAGCGCCACCCCCACCCTGCACAGGTAACACCCCTCAAATAACCCTACTCACAATCTTCAACTCAGCCACTTCTGACTGGAGTCGTGGTGCAGCCCAAATCAGTGTAGATACTGCTTCTGCCAGGCCAGAGTCCAGCTCCCTATGGGTAACAGAAGACAATCCTATCTCCACACCAAGCATTTAGTCTTTGCTGCCCTCAATCTGCTTAGCCTGAAGATCCCATACACCTTGCTGGGCTCCAGAGCCTTCCCTGTCTGAGAAAGAAAAGCTCTCTGGAGTCCCTGTAACACCCAGACAAACAGAGGTCCCCTTCTGCACCCCAGGCCTGCCCCTAACACCACTCCTCCCTGAGCCCAGGGGCCTGGACCCTCTCCCACAGCATGCCCTCTAGGCCAGAGCTTACTTCATGGACTGAATCAAGCCGAAGCGGGCTAGCAGCAGGTCGCAGTACAACTCCAGGATCTCCATGGCCTCCACAAGGTAATCTTCACGGATGATGTGCTCCACACGAATCCTGGCACGCTCATCTTTTCCGGCTGCCAGATAATCTGCAATCTCCTTCCTTGCCTTCTGGGCGAGCTCAGCTACAGCACATATCCCCAAGACCCATCACTGTGCTGGCAGAGCTGCTGCCTCCATACTCATCCACAGTCCCCACCACATAAAGTCTCCACAAGTTTCTTGCTCTCCTTCATCGAGCTTCTGCAACACCAGACACTCAGCCATGGCTTGGTTGAGCCCTTGTGTCTAGGTCCTAGCACGCTAACTCACAGGAGAACAGAAAGCGGGCTTTTAGGTGCAGAAATAAACCCTATACCTTCAGTTTCCCTGCAGAGTCAGTCAAAACCATGGATCTTACGTTTGTCCAAGCAGGGCAGGTGAGGAGAGCCTCCCCACTGTGCTGCGAGTACAGAAAGCCCAGAAAAGCACCCCTGGGGCAAACTGGCCCCAGCTACACAGCCCACAGCTACCACCCCATGCACCCCATAGACTGCACCCCAAGGAAGGTGGCAGGCCTGCTCTTCCAGGTACACCAGGGCAGACTGCAAGGCCTGGGTCCAGCAAGAAAAAGCAAAAGGCTGCTCCACACTTGGCCCCTGCAAGCACCCTGCCTCCAGAATAGTCTCAAGGCTCCTGAGCCCCGAGAGCATCCTGGGTCGTACCTGCCCCCTCAAATACTCACTCTTCTTTTTTTCCAGCAGTTTGAGGCGATTGATGACGAGGCGCAGGTTAACCCGCAAGCGCTCAGCCTTGAACCCTGAGCCCAACATGACAAATGCTTTCTGTGGGAGAAGAGGGGAAGTCAGTGGAACCAAGAGCTGCTGGTCAGAAGGAACAGTCACTGCTTTACTCAAGGGGTAAAAAACAAAACAAAACGAAAACCTACCACCGAATTCTCCAAACAAACAGGCACAGGCCTGCTATTCCCGAATATGACTGGACCTACAGCACTCATCATTCCCTTTTCCATTTTACAACCCTGCACCTACCCAAGACAACAGGGAACAGAAACTTCCTGGATAGTCCCACTCTGATAGAATGAATCTTGACCCCAGAAACAGATTTAAGATGATCAAAACCTGGGATTACCCCATAAATAGGAACAGGGTTAGAAAACACATCCTAAAACAAGAACATAAGGGCCTGGGTCTCTTTAACCTAGATAAGTGACATCTGCCACTGATGTCAACAGCAGAGTACAGTAAAGCTTTAAGAATGTTAGAGAAACATCTACCAGCAGTGGTCTAGGAAAGTGTGGCTGAGCTCAGTTCAGTACACTGAGCTTACTGAGATGTATTTTGTAGTTCAGCTCTAGAAATCCAAGAAGCCCAAGTAGAAAAACCCCACAGATTTCACAATAAACAGCATAGCTGCTAGACGACATGCTTTTGTTCCCATGCTTTTAAAGGTGAGGGAAGTAAACCAATGCCTCAAGATGCCATCTGTGACAACTATCACAGCCAAATTCTGTTACTTCATTGACAAAACCACACTTTTAAAGAAACATGAAGTCAACTGCAAGAACCAAGCCTATTAATATGTAAGCTGTAAATCAGCTGTATAATTAACCCAAGGACTGTACAAACTAAGGTTGTAACAATCCTGTCATGACGAGGAAGAAGTTGCCATTTCATATTCCCCATACTTCCTGCTTCCTGAACGCATGCTCTGGCATTTCTCCAGTCTCTCATGAGTTCAACTCTTTAGCCCTATAGAAAATTAACTCAGAAAACGTTTTGTTATGCCAAGAACCATTCATCAAAAACCCTTAAGAACTATCACATCAAAAGACTTTAACCTGTACCTGAAGAACACACTGGATCAGACTTTTGGATAGTGATAGCATTTTGTGTACAACAAATGCTTTGCACTGTAACAAATCTTATCTATCGTATATCCAGTTTATTCAGCTGATCTGTTCACACATCAATACAGTTATTTCAGTGATGCACAGAACCAACCAAGCTCAAAAAACGCTGCTGCAGATATCTGTATGTGTGATGCAAATCTGATGCCATGAAAAAATAAAGTTCTGCCCGTCTGTAAGTGGAACATACTTCTGTAAGATTAGAAAAACTTTATAGTTCAGCATGAAACAGTCTCAGCCCGAGTTGCAACATCCCTGTAAAAGTAGCCAGTAAACACCTATTCCGATTAAGAACCTGTTTTAACAGATTAATTCAAATGTAGCCATTAGGCAGCCAACTCACTGCTTCTTAAAAAAAAACCCTGGCTGTTTTCCCACCCCCCCTGCCACTCTAAAGAGTTCTGTTGCCCTCACTACCCCGCATGAGGCTCCAGCCACGCTGCTGCAGAAGGGCTGAACCAATCCTTCCCTCCCTGTCCTGCCTCCCCGTCCCTTCCTGCAGACGCGCTGCTACTGTGGTCGGACTGAAACTAACCCTGACTCGCAGAACAAC